ATATGGTGTTGATAAGACATAGAATGTATTTCGGTAGAAGACCGATGAGGAAAGAACTGAGATGAAGCGTGATTGGTAGGAAAATGCATGAACAATGAAATTAGAAAAGGAACAGTGAAGATCGAGAATTTACTGAGATAGTTTGTAATTTTTGTTTAAATATATTCGATTGTCTCCAATCGTGTTCTATTCACTACACTGTTACTATATTTAGCAGGGTTTCAAAATGTTCCAACAGCCAAATGCCATTTAAAATACTATTAGTCCTTTAGATTTTGTTTACATAAACTAACCTTGGAGTAAACAATTCTTCCTAAATTTCAAGCCTTTTCTCTCACGTTCAAGAGGTAATGTGGATTTAACCTGAGGGTTAATAGAAGCCCTTAAAAAATAGAATCAAGCATTTATTGAGAAGATTTATTATTTTTATAGTACAATAAAGTTTTATAACTTAATCTTTCAAATTGATTAATCGCTTATATTTTGAACAATAATTAGAATTTTAAGAAATATATAAAAGAACTAAAATTGCAAAATATTTTTTTATAAAACCGGGTACATATATTGATATTCAATGAGGTTATACGCCTTCGAGCGAGACTGATAGGTCCTGGGTTCGACTCCCGCAAGGCGGGATCATCAATGTGCACTGATAAGATATCCTACAATAGAAAGAATAGACCGTCCAGTACTTCCAGATTTTTTGTGGTAATCTAGCTTCAATTGATTCATGATCTCAACTATTCAATTTACATATATTGAGTTTGTTTTCAAAAACTATGATATTTTAAGAAAGCTTGACTTTTCATGAATATGATGACTAATAGTTTCGATAACTTCACAACTGTAATCGAATAAGAATAAACATGCAAGAGATCATGCAATCTCATTTCATAATAGTACAGACTTGTGATTGGTTAAAACCAAAGGAAAATTTAAATTAACTTTCTCTTCAACTGTTTAAAACTTCTTAAATATTTAGTCTATGGAACATGTTGTTCAATAGGTCTTCTTTTTATTTCCCTTCAAATATTTGAACTTATTACATTAGATGAACTCATTTGCAGAATAGAATTGAGTTTATAATCTCTAACAAATATGCAAACTATGCAATTAAATATCATGAACGTCATCTTGATTGTACAGTTATATACAATGTTAGAATTAAATTAAATTTCTTACTGCAGTCGTTTAAATTGGAACATAGTACAGTAATTTAAGAAAACACTTTTGTAGTTACTAATTAATGATGAGTAAGTAACGATGAGTAAGTGGATTGACTTTTAATTATGTACTCATCAAATTGTATTATGGTGTGTCGATAGATAGATAGATAGATATATTAGTATGTATCATCAATCGAAAATGAAATATCTGACAGTAGCAGGTTAAGAAGATCTAACAAAAGAGAAGGAGAACAGAGAACAGTGAAATTTCAGATGATTAATTGATATTTAGAAAGGGAACAATCAAGTTTGAGACAATTGATTGAGATATTGAAGGTATTGAGGTATTAACTGTATGTTTCTCAGGTTATGTGTTTAAATACATTCCATTGTCCCCACTTGTGTTCTCGTACATTACACTATTAGATTTTGTAATAGTTATTACTGGTCAATATGGTGTCTATGTAATCCTCATATAATTGTTATGATCATTGGGTTCATACTTGTGTCTTTCAGTATTATAGACGATTTAGTTATTAAATTCATAACTCACTTTATGTAGGGTTACGATTTTGGAACTATTCAGTTACTGATTAGTAATAAATATTATATTTTAAATTCACTTAGTATTGTTTGTTTGAATCTTCCCATTGATGTTTACAACTGCAACTGGTCAGTCTCTTATTGGCATATGTGCACACTTTGCCTCAGTATAGCCTTAATTCACAAGCGTTATGAGCAAAGATGGATAGTGTCTAGCAGTGGAATCCAGGACGTGCGTTTCGTCCTATTTGAGACTCGTCAGATGGATGTACCAGCATCTCAGAGTTGATGTTTACTCTGGGACTCGGACCCAGTACAATTAAGACGAGACGTGCTTCTTGGATTCCACTGCTAACCACTATCCATCTTTGCCTAAAATGTTATATTTTGTTTTCAGTCAATAATAATCGAAATAATCATGTACATAATGGTAAAAATTCCTTATTTGCTACTGTTACATAAATTCTATTACTGATGTCCACCAACCATTAGGCATTAGATTAATAGATGTCTTTGTATGAAACCACCTACCCTCCCACCCCTCCAAAATACAATCATTTTAATGACAAACTATGTAACAATTATTTAGACAAAATCTTTTTAAATTACCATTTGGCAAAGACTTAATCACAATCTATTATCATCAATGAAACCATGCCAGTTTACAGGTATGATCATTTTAATATAAATAGTAACATTAAATACAGAGAACAAAGATGTAATGGACATCTTCTCGATATATGAATAGTGAACTTAAGGTCATTCATTGTACCATAACGAATTAATTAGAATCATCATCTTTAACTATAGAAAGTAAAATGGGAAAAAAAGAGAAGTGAAGAAGGCAATAAGTACTAGAATATGTCAATCACGTCTAACATAATGCATGTGTCTCAGTGATATATTGTTCATGTTATATATGATGCAAATTAATTAAGGTTGTCAGGGCTAGTGTTAATGTAAAGTAATAGCAGGTAGATGATTTTATTTAGTGAGTTCAGTAATAAGAATGACTGAACATTTAAAAGTCCTATAATCTCACTTAAGGAGTAAGATACAGTTACAGTTGCTAGAAATATTAAAGCATTTTCAGAAGAGCAGTATGCATCAATGCACCGAACAAAGGATGACAATGATTTTATGATAGATTTTAGTAAATTATTCCTGAGTGTAAAACATTTACTGCTAAAGTAATTCATAAACAGAGATGATTTCGAATGAATTTTTTTTCACTAATGACAAGGAGTTATGGATATCATAATCAGAAGTTTCTTCATATTGAATGACTTGATTAGATATAAACAATAATTTATTAAGTATTGTAAAGAAAAAGATCAGATTTAATTTAAGTCTCCTCTTTCATAAAGAGTCAAGCTTAAGTTCATTACATCTGGAATTATAATTCAAAGTACAATCAATTCCAAGAATCCGAAGTGTAAATCGTCCCTGTACGGATTCCAACTATAAATTATCCTTAATGTACACACTACATATAGTATTCTAACTTTGGACGAACACACATTTTACGATTGGGGTTAGAAGTGGACAACGTGAAACTCTGGACTTGAGTTTCATGCTACGTGGAACTTGTTATCAAAGTGTACCTGCAATCTTCAGGGAACTGGTGCTTCCTGACGGATTCAATTACGTGTCACCCAGCTTCACAATCAGAGACGTTACCACATTTCGTACATCAAAATATAGTATACTATCCATGTAATAATTATATAAACAAATAAATGTTTCCACCTTAATCGTCTAAAACTTATAATAAATAGATCATTCTTATTCACATTTTACTCCTTGTGAACAATACAAATCGGGTTATTATTCATAATAACAGCTGCCCAATATAAACACGATTCAATATAATGAGGAATATATATATATATATATACATGAACCATTCTATTCATCTTAATACAATACAGAATGAGTATAGGCTATTAGGCTTTATTATTCATTACCCTTCCCCATTCCATTGAATAAAACTTATGTAGGTTATTATTTTTCATGATATTCACATGCATAGAAACAATTAAGGTAACCCTTTCTATTATTAGAATTAGAAAAACAAAAACAAAATAGTTTAGAATAGATTTACAATAAGAAGAAGGAAAGTGTTTCATTTATATGTTATTGTTTAAATGAATGTTAAGTTCAATCTATTCAAATCTGTATATATATATATATATATATATATATATATATATATATACTGGGAATCCCCATTGTAGTGAATGAGAACAAAAATGAGAATAATCAAATGAATGTGAACATAAAATTATAGAATATCTTAGTAAAATCTGACACATATACAGTCACTGCTTCATTTGAAAAGAAAAAATGTCAATTAATCGTCTAAGACTTCACTGTTCGTTCATTTCCACGGCAATCATTCTTTGTTCTCGTTCTGTATTGTTCGATCTTCTGAACTTTCTGCCTCCAGGTATTTCATTTTTGATTGACGATACATACTACTTATATCTATTAATATCTGTAGCACATACTACGCTACTATTTAAGGCCAATTTTAATAATCTGCTAGTTGATCCTATGCTACATCCATTGATTCTTTGTGAAGCAATGTAATCATATCACAAAGGGTTTAATGTCAGTTTTTACTTTTTAAACAGATTCAAATGTTATACATAAGCAGCATAAATATTAGTGACAACCTAACTATGATGATCTTTGAGACTTGAAACCACACATGTGCCATAGTCATAATACTAGTGACTGTAGAAACCTGAAAACAAACAGTTGATTAAATTGTTTTCAGTGAAATAGTACTTTAGAACATGTACAAACGTACAATATTGTTTTGAACTGGATCCTTATCAAGTATACTCTTATACTTTGACATATTTATATCTATATATGACATAATAAGTTCATCAACAGAATGTTTAACTCATTGACCACAATGAAAGTGATTGAGAAACGATAACTAATTAACAATTATGTTGAGTATGAAACAGTTATCGTTTGCAGGCAGTGGATGTCTGTTGCAGAATATTGTGAATCAATTGAAGTTGGATATTGATAACATTGAATGCCAGATCAGTGATCTAGAAGTTAGTTGTTCATGTGCTAGTCCTCAGGTCGTAAGTTGTATACCTTAAGGAAACGGTCATTCGACGCTTTGATCTCTTTAATAGTGATCTACTTTAAATCAACTCATGATTTGAACTATGGAAAAACTATACTAAAATGCAGAATAACTTATTCTATATTGATGGTGATATTCTATTTATATATGATTTCTCTATTTGTTAACATTTATAACAGACGGTCCTGAATTTTCGAGTCCTTCAAACGATATATTATCCGGTGAATTAGGTCAAATAATTCATTTAGAATGTTCAGCCAACTCAAATCCCGAAGCTGATGTATCCTTATATTATATTGGACCAGAAGGACAAATTCTGTTAGAAGAAGTAACTAAATCGGAACTAACTCAATATCAGCATCACTACAATCGTCCAGTAGATTCTAAACACCCAAAATATCTGGTTTGGAACAGCGAAACGGAATATGCAGAATTTAATATAAGTATTGTGAAAGCAGCTATTCATTCGAGCGGTAGAAAGGTAATAATTTGTTCTATAATTACTCATTTCTGCTTGTATGAAAGTACCTAAATAAAGAGAGAATGGATACTTCGCTTGTCATGATTTCGAAATTGAATGCCATAAATCAACCTGAAGTTAGTCACATGTCACGAAATACTTTTCCAGTGTTCCTTAGAGTTATATGATACTTCGAATGATATTAGTACTTGGCAAAAACAATATTGGTATAAAACTATTATCCGTAAACATTTTAACCAACTAAATCTATGTAGTACAGTTCAATCAGTACGAATTATTATTAGAAGAAGACACATCGGCCTCGTGACTCCCAAAGGAACTCGGCTATCATCACGAGGCGTCACAATTGTTCGTTCAACTCTCAGGGCAGAGTTTCAATGGTTTGAATAATATTTTCTCAGTAGTGTTTTTTTAGGGAGTTGGTTTTCTACGGGATGGGGTCGCTAACCCCGTGCGCAGCCCTCCTATTTTATCCAGGCTTGGGACCGGCAGTAGCCTCCGGAGGAGCTATAGACGAAGTTCAGTACGAATTATAACATTATTATAACATTGGAATAAGCAGATTTTTGTAGTTAACACTTCCCCCAACAGTTGCTGCTACCGCGACGTAGTGGTCGAACTTGCCTACCGTGATGAACCAATCGGATATGAACAACCGGGAAGTGATAACTGCCCACATACCTTTAACAGAACTAAAGGCCCTTATAAGAATGCATTCACTTATCCGAATCATTCTATTACTCAAAATGGTTAAGACAACGACAGTTGGTCAATTCACATAACGGCAAAAAATTCAAAACCAACAGTCATCATAATATGACAAATGAATTTACTAACTATGTCATTTGAGATCATTTGATATCCTACTATTTGATCTATTTTACTGTTTGCCTTTAATCTAGCTATTGGGTTCAGACATAAAACAAGTTTCACATAAATTACATTTAACAAGTCATGAACAATTTGGCTTTTATGCTTGTATTGCTCAAACAACCGGTTATCCATCCATATATCGTATTGTCTATGTAGGACAGGCTGGTAAGTAATTTTTTATACTTTTAACTGACTTATAATAAGATATATTTTCTTCGAATGGAAATCCTTACACTATTCAAGAATTCAGCACGTAATTTTTTAATGGGTAGTTTTTACTACAGACTAACATGAGATTTTTCTAAATGTGTCTTGAAGTGTAAACTATTTGGATAAAGAGATCATATTGAGATGGTGGAAAAGATTTGTAGCTGAAGTGATTGATTTGGGTGGAGTTTTGTTCTCTGAGGTGGATGGTTTGTTTGTGGAGATTTTACTGTTCTTCTGAACAACATCAGCACAAACTTCAGATAGAAGTGGAGTGTTCGAATTTCTCGTTTAACCTGTCATTATCTACTGTTTTTTTTTGAATGTATCATACAAATGAGATGGAGGTCGATAAAACAAGCTGTGAGTCATATGAGGAAAAATTCAAACACTCCATTTCTACCTGAAATTTATGATGATGATATTGTTCAGAAGAACAAGGAAAGTTCCACGACTAAACCATCCAGCTCAGAGAACAAAACCTTATCTAAGTAAACCAAACGTTCACTAAATGTTAGCTCTTAAATCTGTTGATGAAATCATTGATAACCAACATAGATCACACTCCAAGCTTTGACCGATTATAGTACACTATCAAAATGTCTCCTGAAACATCAGATGTAATTGCATATTTGTTGGCTTATTTTTGTCACGAGACTTGAATATCACATGTATTTGTTCGGTTGACTGATTTCAATAGTAAATTGGTCAATATCGATATGTAGAGAATTTATAGCTTAGGATTCAGTAGTTTCCACGAGGTAATTTCTTCTGATCAAGTTTTAATATTTAAACTAAAAACGTTGAAAGAAACGTACCTTCATAATGTAGTTTATCTTTTCTTAAGATACCAATGAATAATAATAATTTCTTGAATGATAAAGGTATTTCAGAACGGGTTTTGCGGATATTTGAGTATTTACATAGTTGAAATCATGAGTCGATTGAAGCTGGAACACCATGGAAAACCTGGAAGCACTGGACGATCGTTTCGTCCTATCGTGGGACTCCGCAGCAATGCGCATCCACGATCCCGTCTCGCCAGATTTGAAACCAGGACCTACCAGTTTCGCGCCAGAGCACTTCAAAATATTCTTAGAATTCTAGTGAGACATCATTATTATTGGAGTTTGCAAATTTTACGACTGTAATAGCTGTTATTGGTCACACCTGATAATTACTACCCTGTATCCCAGATGTGATTGAAATTTATCGAATTTCTAAATGACTGTTACTGTTTTTGTAAGTTTTCGATGAGCCTATGAAGTTAAGGCTTGATTATCAGGCATACATTATTATTATTTATTATTTGAACACGTAAATATTGGTACAAGGGAGAACCAGATAGATATGTGCCACACAAAAAAATTGTCATTTCATTCAAATGTGTGAAGATTATGATACTGTCCGGGTGTCCAAACCGATGTAAGTGGCTTTCATAGGGGTTCACACCCCGAGCCTTTGACCTAGAGGTCTGATCCACAATGCAGTGGAGCATCGTAAAGAGATGCAATCCCATGGGAGCAGGCGACCAGAGATTGAATAATACGCCATTTGTTCCTTCAGGATATTGGATCCCATTTTTACCATCGGTTTTGGATCAGGGTTATTTAACTCTCCTAGTTGGACTTTTCGTGTCCATAAACCGGTTTAAATCGCCTGACATTTTCTTTTCGTCATCTCAGTTTCATAAACAATAGTAATGTCACGAGAAATTAGTGAGTTGAACTTCTCTGGCAAAGGCTGTATACGCTTGACCATGTGAGAGAATTTCGAGCGAGTGGGCTGGCCTTCTCTCCAATCTTGGCTGTACCAGGGCATTTAGGGGCCTTACTTAGTACTCACTAAATCATCTATGTACTATTTATACGGATGAATTATCAAGTATATTATGCATCGTGGGTTTTTTCTCCTAATTAAACTCAAAGAAAGTTCAAAATATTCATAAAATAATCAACTTTACTTTCATTGAGTTATATAAAATTCAGAATAAAACTAAATTAATTTTACGTAATTTGCCCTCCCCCCCCAAAAAAAATAATTTTTATTTTATTTTCTTTGACATTTTCTGAAGAATCGCCGAAAATTTTAAAAATCGATCAATCAATTTCTTTTGATGGAACATTTGCTGAATTATTTTGTACAATCTATAGTATTCCTCGACCTACTGTACATCAAATTACATGGTCAATAAATGGAATCTCTATCAAACCGGATAAAAGGTGAGCATTACATTTGTAGTATAATTAAATGAAAATGAAAATATATGAATTCATATGTTTTTAATCAGAAGGGGATTTGTGGAGATTTCAGTATATTTCAAAGTTGAAATCATGAGTCAATTGAAGCTAGACCACAATCGAAAACCTGGAAGCACTGGACGGCCGTTTCGTTCTACTATGGGACTCCTCAGCAGTGCGCATCCACGATCCCTCACTCATATGTTTTTGATCATTCGATCATGACTTTCTTTTAATGGCTCGATATCTGACTATGGTAAGATCGGATAGATGATCGTTATGGAATGATTGCTGTTAAAATGTGTATTCTGGCTATCTCCGTATATTTCGACGGTTATTGTATTGTAACAAACAATAGAAATGATTAAACAATGTTGCATAATCAAAATAATATGAGTGTCCATTATTAGTATCTTATCATTGATTAATTGTATAATCACTGAGTGAATTTATTCATCAAGCAACAACTTATCAACGTTAAATATTCATTCAGATGTTTTCATCTAGGTAATAGGTATTTCGTATACTAGGGGTAGCATGTAAAATAGCGTCAGTAAGGCTCATTAGAAAAGAGAGGTACGAGAGAAAAAATTAGCCAACGATTCAGCAAGTGTACACGATGCACTTACATTCATTAATGAGACCCAGTTGGTTTTGTGTTCCATCGCCCTTTTTTCTGGTTAGCGTTTTTTAGCGAGTAAGTTTTCTACGAGATCGGGTCGCTAACCTCATGTCCAACCCTCCTCCTTTACTCCGGCTTGAGACCGGCAGTAACTCAAGAAGAACTACAACTGTCAACTAATTTCGAAGTGATAATCTTCATTACGAACGTCGAGACAGTTCTACTATACGGAGCTGAAACGTGGAGAACTACTATATCCATCGTCAAGAAGGTACAAGTATTTATACACGGTTGTCTACGCAAAATATTCAACATTCACTGGTCGGATACCACCAGCAACAGCTTTTTATGGGAGAGGACAAACCAACTTCCAGCTAAAAGGAAATTAGGAAAAGATGTTGGAAGTGGATGGGACATACATTAAGGAAATCACCCAACTGCATCACGAGACAAACCCTTACTTGGAATTCGGAAAGGGGAACGGAAAAGTGGAAGTTCAAAAAACATATTACCCTGGAAAATAGAAGCAGATATGAAAAAGAAGGAATGTTAAGTGAAAAGAACTGGAAACGATTGTCCAGGACAGGGTTAGATGGAGAATGCCGATGGGTGGCCTATGCTCCTCCACGAGGGCAACAGGCACAAGTAATCATTCAGTAAACTTATCACACTTACTTACAGATCACGATTGCTCATCCATATATACGTGTTTTTGCATATACATGTAAACTGATAGACACAATGGTATGTGACGAATCCACTTACGTGTTGTTTGAGGTTATGGTGAATAACTGACCTTGTCTTGTTGTACTGTATAAAATGTCCTATTGATGGTTAATTTCAGTCTCTATTTCAACATGAAACTATTTGAGTATAAATATATGATGATCAGATTGTTTGTCTACTTGTTGTATTATCAACATTTATCAAAAGGAACTAATTGTTACAAATAGAATAGGAAAGTTGCTTAACTGGAAAAAAAAAGACAAATGGTATTCATTGTTGAAAGGATAGATTCATATAAAATTGAAAGACAAATTAAGGGGAGGAAGGATTCAAATCTATTGAGCATTTGTATAAAAGATAAATCTATTTAGTTTTTGTTTTATTCTATAACGGAATGGCAAATAGAAATTAATCTACAACTCAAATGAATTATCTGATGTATATAAATTTTTTTCTCAGGGATCACTATTCAGACCACTTAGTTACATAAATGTTACTAAATTACTTACTTACGCCTGTTATCCCTCGTGGAGGAGCATAGGCCATTCACTAGCATTCTTCATACAACCCTGTCCTAAGCATTTATAGCTATACTTCTATCAATAATAACTTTAATTAAATCTATTCAAGCAAAATAGAAATGAAATGATTTATCAAAGTTAATATCATCCATACAAGGATAATAAAACAAAAAAAAACTTAAATCAAAGTCTAATGATAAATGATTGAGGAGTATATTATGTAATCTTAAACTAGATCTATTTAGTCTTGTAAAAAAAGACAAATGATTAATATCTGAAGTAAAATAGATGCTTTTTATCAATGTCATATTTATTTGTTTGATGTTAAAGTAATCTTATAATGAAATGATCTTATATTCTATCAATCGTGGATACGCACTGCTGAAGAGTCCCAGAATAAGACGAAACGGTCGTCCAGTGCTTTCAAGTTTTCTATGGTGATTTAGCTTCAACTATAAAAAGTACTGAAATATCCACAAAACCCATTTTGATTGTATTGTATATGTATAGTAGTGCAGCAAGGATTTGATTATATTCAAGCTTTGAATAGATACAACAGATGTATATAGTACTTTTTAGCATTCTAGTTCAATGATAAACTTTATACATAAGATATTTGAAGACAGTAAAAAGACTAGGCGTTCGCATGTGAAACGGATATTTGTGAGAAGGATAACTTCAGGTGCAGTCGTAGATATGCTCTGCTTCATACTAGAATGTCCTTTACTACAACATGAACTGTGAAATAGTAGTCTGTATTTACAACGTATAAGACATGCTCAATTCATACTCAATGTGAATTTTATTTCCATAATTGAGATCATCAGTCAATGGAAGCTAGACCACCATGGAAAACCTGGAAGAACTGGTTGGCTAATTCGTTCTATGGTGGAAATCCTTATCAGTGAGCATCCACGATCTCGTCTCGTGAAAATCAAAACCAGGACCCATCAGTCTCGCGCGCGAACACTTAACCTCTAAACCACTTAGCCGGCATTCAACAATGTTATTGTCTAACTTCAATCGATCAACGAAATTGAGCGACACATCTATCACTGTCTTCAGTGAGATACCATCTCACAACAGACCTAGTTGAACTCCACTGATCACTACTTCTCACTAGAATTCCAAGAAATACCTCTTAAAGCCAGTTTAATAGGTTAAGCACTCGCACGTAAAACTGTTAGGTCATGTATCCAAATCTCACGAGGTGGGATTGTGAATGCTCACTGCTTCAATTAACTCATGATCTCAATTATTAAAATTACTACAATATCTTCAAAAACCCCTCTTGATATTATTTTTATTCATTTGAAATATTTCAACCTAAATACAGACTTTTTGTTTGACATAAATCTAAACTTATTTAGAAAACAATATTCAATGACAAACTAATTAATTTTGTATGAAATGAAATTAAAGAAACTATATGACATGAAATAGTTGATTTAAATGAAAACGTTTTACAAGTTTAAGTCATAAATATATATCCACATATATGTCCCTATACATACATTCCAGATCTTGGTGAATTCTGAAGTTAGACATTAACATCATTCAATGCCAGATCAGTGGTTTAGTGACTTAATCATTTCATATGAAACCAAATGTTCTGGGTTTGGTTCTTATAGATAGGATCTTGGATGCTCACTACTGAGAAGTGGTATACAGGGAGAAAACAGTCATCTAGTGTTTCTTGGTTTTTCATAGTGATTAAATATTTAAAATATTTTTTGACAGTTTGTTCATATTAATCATTATTTTTTTAAATATTTTTGACATGGTTACTAATTTTAATATAAATTTCAATCTTATTTTTATTATTATTAATAATGTCAGATTACGAATTTATCAAGAGAAAACTCATCGTGGTGTAATTAGTATATTGACTTTAAATAATTTACGTCCAAATGATTTTTCTACATATAATTGTACAGTAGTCAATGATTATGGAAGTGATTGGAAGTTGATTACATTATCATCTGACAGTAAGTATATATATTTATATGTGTGTATATATTCAATTCTGTTGAAGAAAGAACTTCGGTTCCTATGGTCTTATTGCGATCAAATCACCAAGCTACTTACTTACGCCTGTTACTACTGATGGAGCATAGGCCGTTGACCAGCATTCTTCAACCAACTCTGTCCTGAGACTTACTTTCTAGTTCTATCCAGTTTTTGTTCATTCTTCTTATGTCTGTCTCCATTTCTCGAGGTAATGTGTTATTTGGTCTTCCTCTTCTACTTTGGTCATCAAGATTTCATGTGAGGGCTTGTCTTAAGAAGCAGTCGGTTGACTTCCTCAGTGTGCATCCGCTTGTAGCTAGTCCGGAGGCTACTACCAGTCCCAAGCTCTTATAAAGGAGGATGGTTGAGCATGGGTTTAGTGACCCCATCCTGTTGAAAATCAACTCGCTAAATAAACGCTGACCAGAAAAACTTATTCAACCTAAGCTACTGGAACCCTACTTATTTAGGCATTTCAACCTCCGTGTGGGTGAATAGTACGCCTACTAGTACTCTCGATTCAACTCTGTCTTGGAGAATATCTCCTAGTTGTTTCCAATTTCCTTTCATCCTTTTCATATCTGCATTTCCATTTGCCAACGTAATGTGTTCTTTGACCTTCCACTTTTCCGTTTCCATTAAAGATTACAAGTTAGCGCTTGCCTCGTGATGAAGTTTGGTGATTCCCACAATGTGTTTCCTATCCACTTCCATCTTCTTTTTCTAATTTCCGCTTCAGCTGGAAGTTGATTTTCCCTTTTTCACAGAAGGCTGTTTTTGATAGTATCTGATCGACGGATAATGAGTATATCACGTAGACAATTGTTTATAAGTATTTGAAATTTTTTTGATTTTGGTTGTGGTAGTTTTCCACGTTTCAGCTTCATACAATAGAATTGTCCTGACGTTCGTATTGAAGATTCTGACTTTCATATTGGTTAACAGTCATTTTGAGTTCCATACTAAAACTATTAGTTTATATTTTCAGCTTCAGTCAAAAACGACCAATTATATATCAGTAGTACAGAAGAATATAATATCAAATAATATGGTCCAAAATACTGACTGTTTTTTTTCTAAAGTTTAAATGTAAATCTATCAGATACTGAATGTTATTCATTTTTACACATTACAAATCATGAATGTCAAGTATATTCACTTAGGTAAATAAGTGAGAGAAATAAGATAAAAGATATATGATTTAATTTTTGAATGCTTTTTAGTGGGAGATTACATTTTCGTGAAATTCATTGTTTTGTTTAATTTAAAAGATGAGAACCTTGTGCGTTGATGAGGAGTCTTATACTAGGACGAAACAGTCGTCCAATGCTTCCAGGTTTTCTATGATGGTCTAACATGATTTCATTTATGACATATAAATCTAACTATATTTATACAATTAATTTATTTGTAAATCATCTCTGCAAGCTTACATGATCGCTTTACATCTAATTGGATTATAAAATCTCATAATTACTATCCTAGAACTACTTATATGGTGAACAAGAACTAGAGAGGGGACAATCGAAGGTATTTATGCACAAAATTACTGAATATTTCACTAAAATCTGACAACCATACAGTAAACAGTTAATTTGCGAACTATCAATCAATTGGTTAGCAGAGATGGATAGTGGCTAGCAGTGGAATCCAGGACGCGCGTTTCCTCCTATTTGGGACTCGTCAGCTGGATGTACCTGCATCTCAGAGTTGATGTTCACTCTGAGACTCGAACCCAGTACCCTCGCTTCAAACGCCATCACGTTATCCACTTGGCCACTGAGTCCGGGTAGCCACTTGCTTGTGAGATGGGGTTAAGTTTAAATTCACTTGGTATTGCTTGTTTGAATTTTCTCATCGATTTTGTTAAGGTATATCGAGGCACTACACACAGTATGCACATATGCCAATTAGAGACTGACCAGTTGCAGTCCTAACAAAATCGATGGGAAGATTTATACAAACAATACTAAGTAAATTTATCAATCAATTGTCTCGAACTTGACTGTTCCTTCCGTAAATATCGGACCATCTTCTCTGATTTCATTTTCATACCAATGGCGTTCCATTCCGGTTTTTTACCTTATCAATCATCTACTGAAATACAATCAATGCCTGACCGTCGTTACATACTACTTATGTGGATATAAGTAACACACACTACACGTAAACACGTAAACACTATTCAGTGCAACTCTCTTTTTCCTTCTCTACTGTGTATATCAATCAATACTATTTTTGAAATTTGAGTTCCACTTCATGAATTGTGGAATTCAGATAAAACTTATTACCGAATAATCCGTAAAATACAGACTTAGACAAAACAATTATTTATTCAGCTTGTCAAAGGCTCAAGTATATCGACAACAATAGGACAACGTATTAAGCCAATTATTATGTGCTAGACTCAAAATGAGTTGCATGCTATATGTACGTAATTTAAGTCATTGTTATTGTTATTAAATCAAATATTTTCCGATTTTAATAATTTAATAGTTGAATTCGTGAGTTAATTAAGGATAGACCACCATGGAAAACTTGAAAACGTTTACACGTGATACCGATGGATCTTGGGTTTGAATACCACGGGCATGGTCGTGGATGAGCACTGCCGAGAAGTCATATACTGACACGAAACGATCGTACAGGTTTACCATGATGATCTACCTTTAATTAACTCATGAATTCAACTATACAAACCAAATATTTGTGAAAAGAAAAAAAAAGCATTTTGTATAAAAAGTACACAAATTCAACATTGAAACAACGTGAAGGTTATATCAACATTAAAAAATTATCTTCACAGTACATGGATATATTACTGAGTTACTTAACTTTTCTAATTAAAGTTTTTTTTCCCATTCCAATATGAAATTGTAAGAAAAAACGTCTAGTTAGTAAATAATTTTTATGGCTGCTATTAACAGATAAAGATGTATTTGTGCAAACTAGATCAACCGCATACTATATGAAACCCCCTTTCTCGTCTTCATATAGATATGTATTGTTCAAATATTTGGTATTCTTTTCCTATTTGTTCAGTTTTATTGTCTAAGCAAACTAATTCTAGTTTTAAATTATAATTTGTTTTTGTTTTTTTTTGATGACATTATTAAGTTTTTGCGAGCAAAAGTGGATAGTGGATAGCAGTGGAATCCAGGATACGCGTTTCGTTCCTTTTGAAACTCGTCAGCCGGATGAACCTGCATAACAAACTTGTTGATGTTCACTCTGGGATTCGAACTCAGTAACGTTCGCTTCAAACGCCATCACGTTATCCACTTAGCTAATGTATCGTCATACAAGTAAACAGCATTATGTGAATTTAAATTTCACCCATTGAACAAGCAGGTGGCTATCAGGACTAAGTAGATAAGTCAACAACATGACGGCGTTTGAAGCGAACGGTAATGGGTTCGAGTTCCAGCGTGAACATCAACTCAGATGCAGGTGCATCAAGATGACGCATCATAAATAAGACGAAACACGCATCCTGGATTCCACTGCTAGCAACTATCCATCTTTGCTTATAATATGTATTAAGTTGTGATTTTGGTATATTTCGCAATATTACATTCCTTGCAATAAAATATAAACATTGAGGTCATCATTTATGGACAATCTTTGAGTGACGCGAAAAGGACCTTGAGAATGCTCAAATATTGACTGGGTTTAAATGATTATTGTAAACATTTGTGAGGAATTGCGATTATGATTGACAGTTATTGTTTAGGATTTGGAATTAGATTTGTGGTCTTCATCACGAACTGGCAGAAACTAAAACCCTAACCAAACGAATCAATGAGTTTCTCGCCAAAATCGAAGTCCTGTTATATTTGATATCCTAAGTCTGCTGAATTCATCCATAAATTATAGTCTTGTCACATAAATTGGTAGTATATTCATTAGAACATCAGTGCTAAACATAATTCAACGATATAAAGTAACCGCTTTCATTGTACTTTCTAATAGTTGATTCATAATTAACAGATCATTATTCGATTTATACTAAAATAAGTTGAATACTTTTCTATTCCGTTAATTTTAGATAGATGGCCATTAACATTTGCTGTTATAAGTGGATTTGCTGCATTATTGGGTGTTTTATTTGTTACAATTATATGCTGTTTCATTAGATATACCCGATTAAAAGATACGAATTCAAAGGTATATTTCAAATCTAAAGAAGAGAATAATTTACAGAATAATGAAGGTAATTAAACTTTTTAAATGATGTGTACATTTTGTCTTAATCTCTTTCTATGTTTAAAGAATATCTTAAATTGGGGATAAATGTTAATATCATTACTTACTCAGTTACGCCTGCTCCCACATCGTGGAGGAGCATCGACTGCCTACAGGCATTCTCCATCCAACTATGTCCTGGACAATCATTTCCAGTTGTTATTCATCCTTTACTTGTCTACTTCCAATTCTTGATGAAATGTGTTCTTCAACCTTCCACTTTTCCGTTTTCCTTCATGATTCCAAGTAAGGGCTTGTCTTTTAACGCAGCTTCATGGTCCCCGCAATATATATCCTATTCACTTTCACAGTCTTTTCCCAATTTCTTCTTCAGCTGGAAGCTGGTTTGTTCCTTCTCAGGCTGTTGCTGATGGTATTCAGTCAACGAATAATGAGTATATTCTGTAGACAATTGTTTATAAATACTTGTACATCCTTTTCATATTAGATAATAAATGACTTCTATTGAAATATAATGTAATGTTTCATAATTTGATTTTATCTTTTAGAGAATAAACAAATAAGTGACGGTGTAGAACTACAATCAATACTTAAGAATAAACTAAACCAAATTGGTTTATCTAAGGCAAACCCTATTGAAAATGTTACTTTAACAAATAATGTGAGCATATTGTTTGTTTGTTTTTGTTGAAAAATCATTGTTACTGTATTTTGTACATACAGTCGATTAAGACTGCAGATAACGGTTTTTACATGGGTCAATTCATGAAATCAAAAACTGATCAGAATATCTAGTCATTAGGTATATTAGAATACCTGAGATTTGTCGATGGTTGATATTAATTTAATAATTATCTAAGACATGTTAAATAAGTTTTTGTATCATGTGCTTAGTAGTGACTAGCTTCAAGATGAATTTTCTGGAGTTCTAGTGAGAAGTCATGATCAGTGGAGTCATAACCGTGTCCGATGCGAATCAGTTAACTAATGGAAGATGGTAGCACATTATCGTCGATTGGTTGAAGTTGTATATTAACACCGTTGAATGCCAGCCAGCTCAGTGGTCTGAAGGTTAAACATTCGTGCATGAAACCGAATGTCCTAGTTTCCAGTCCCGCATGTGGGGTTGTGGATGCACTCTGTTGATAAGTTCAATAATAGGGCAAAATATCCGTCCAATGCTTCCAAATTGTAAATGTTGGTCAACCATTAATATGTTAATGATCTCAACCAAAATAAATCAATTGTTTTAATCAAGAAATATACGTCCACAATGGATTAATTACTTGCTAAAACATATGGTCTTCAAGTTTACACTTGAATATCCGAACACTGTCGCAATATCTTCAACTGGACTTACGTAAATTTACACAATGTTGCTGATGGTGTATGCATATGCAAGCCAACTGAGAAATTTGAGCGTTCACAGATGAAATCAGAGTAATGTTTCTAATCTGCAATTCATGTTTACATAAAAGTAACAGCCGATCAAATATCATGAAAATCATGTTATGACGTTGTCATGAATTGTCATGAAAAGTATTCCACGACAAGTGATTTGTACATGACTATGTATAAAGAGCTTTGAAAACTTCTATCTTAAACTTATGACTATGCTTTCATGAATCTCAAAACAAAAAGAAATAAACTTTTCTCTTCATGTAGAAAAGAGTATTTGACAGAGTCTTTGCTATACTAAGTATGAAGAAACCGGACACTAATGATGTTCAAAACATGTCAATTGAATAGAACTGAAGGTGACATAACTTACTTATTTCCAGCTATTTTGTAATTTCTACAAGTAGTGTATCAGAAGAATAAGAAAAGATGGATAGTGGCTAGCAGTGGAATCCAGTGTGACGCGCGTTTCCTTCTATTCGGGACTCGTCAGCTGCATATACCTGCATCTCAGATTTATTGATGTTCACTGTGGGATTGGAACCCAGTACCGTCCACTTGAAACGCCATTGCGTTATCTACTCAGCTACTGAGTCCTGATAGCCACTTGCCTGTGCAATGGGGTGAAGTTTGAATACACTTAGCATTGTTTGTTTGAATCTATCCATTGATACTTAGGACTGTAACTAGTCAGTCTCTTATCGGCATATATGAATTAGGGTAATATCGAGGTAATACACACAGTATGCACATATGCCAATAAAAGACTGATCGAATGCATTCCCAAACATCAATGGGAAGATTCAAACAAACAATACTAAATGAATTCAAGTGTACTAGAAGCTTAACATCTCTTTACATCGTTTTCATGTATAACATTTCCTCCTTAAAATGTAGTTGAATATATAATAGTAATTATGAGTTTGCCCAGTAACTTTCCGATATGAAATACTTATCAATACATTTTTACAATCATTTGCTTACATGACAGGAGGGTAGATAAAATATCTTGTTCACTCATTCTCTGTCTTTCTCTCCCAATTGGACTAAATTGATCAAAGCTTATCATTATGTGAAGACATTACTTTCTTTTTAGTTTTAGCAATGCATCGGAATATGTATGTTTTATGCTTAACAGAAAGATGAATTAAGATGTTTATCTACTTGTTGCTAAATTCATTTATTCTTAAACTAACATCTTTGATTTCTCCATCGTTAGGAGTGTTATCCTATTGAAAATGTGTACAAATCGAATATGGATGAGACAGGCTTTGGAAAGTGTCATGATTTAAGGTAAGAATGAATCGAATTATTTATTTGTTTTTGTTTCTTCTATGATTTAATCGACTGTTAAGTGTCGAATCTCCCTTGAAACAGTATATGATGCTTGATTCAGTTAGTCAATTATGTCACAATCATATACTATATAAGTTTCATGCACACATATATTGATAATAAGTTTGTGATGTGCTTCCAGTTCAAAATCTTCAGTTGAATCTGATAAGTAAGGCTTCTTTTTAGCCAGTGAAGTTGATACACCAAAAAAGAGAGGTAAAATTACTTTTCCAACTCATGATGAGTTTTGTTCAGCGTTCCAGCTTTTTTTTGAAACAAAAATTTAATGTGATTACTGAGTGTATTGTCTTTCTTGTTTTCAGCGTGATATTTAGTTTAGTTTATCACTGATTTATTTCGGAGGATCATTCGTAGCTTGGATTTGTGTAGTAATTCTGTATATTTTCCCTATGTGTGACAAATGAGTACAACCGATGAATAAGTGCCTGTATACATGTACCAACATAATTTATCTTGAGTGTCAAATCACTCCTTATCGATCATCTATACTTGTGTTGTTCTATTTCGGTTGTACAATTTTAAGCGTCAATTATGACAATATTCTGTAGATATACCAATTTGTTATTACGATGATTCAGAAATTATAAACACAACTTCTGTACTATTTTATGCATATAACTTAAGATTAAATTCTGCATGACAATCAAATATTTTTGAATATCATAAGTAGTATATTAGTTTTTTTAGAGATCATTGAATATTACAATATATACAATCAACCAAGTTGGCCTCGACGTAGTTACCTATCATAAGACGGTAGAGTAACATTGTGAATTGATTAGAAAACTAAACTATTGGATGTCCGACCATCATTTAAAAAGTTAATCGTTTAGTCTGAGATATGTTGATCTTTGATTTTGATCAGTGGTAGTGTCATCAGTAAAAACATTTAAGATAGCCCATACTAAGACCAAACAACTTTCCAATGATAATTCATTACGAATAATTGTGTAACATAGGTAAACTTGTGATTATTATTATCGAGTCTGAAAATTTCAGCTAATGCTGAAACGTTGAATTCAATCGAGCCCATGTCGTGTGGTAACAGTCATCCACCTTAGACAATGGATGAAGAATTAGACAAGATCGTGGATCGATCAATGTTAGACATGTCGCTTCAGTGGTCTAAAGGTTGAACGTTCGCTCACGAGACTGAAGGTTCTGGGTCCGATTACCACGTGCAGGATCGTAGAAGCTCACCACCGAAGAGTCCCATACTAGGACAAAACAGCCGTCTAGCACTTCCATGTTTTCAATAGTATTCTAGCATAGATTGACTCGTGAATTCAACTGCGAATATGCTAAAATCTCTATAAATCCTTTTACTAATATTTAATTTAAGAAGGGGTTTTTTGTGGATATTATGGTGATTTCAATAGTTGAGATTGTGAGACCACCATGAGAAACCTCGAAGTACTAGACGGCTGTTTCGAATGAACTTATGATCTCATCTATTGAAATTACTATCACAAAAAACCCATTCTGATATTAATCAACATCATCATCACTATTGACTGACTTCAGGAGGTATTAACTGTAGTTTTAGCAAGAAGCAATGACCAGTGATGTTCAACTGGGTCTGTTGTGAGATAGTAACTCACTGAAGACAATTACGGATGCGTCGCTCGATTTCGTTGATCGGTTAGGTTGGACATTAACATCGTTGGATGCCGGCCATCTCATTGGTCTAGTGGATATGCATTTGCGCGCGAGACTTATAGATCCTGAGTTCGAATCTCACGAAGCGGCATCGTTGATGTGCACCGCTGAGGCGTCCCACAATAGAATGAAACGACCATCCGGTGGTTCCATGTTTTCTATAGTGATCTAGCTTCAATTGATTCATGATCTCAACTATTGAAATTATTATTTCATTGAATTAGTTTCATTTGTCTGATATAAATGGTAATGTTATCATCATGAAACCCTTTCTTGATTTTCAATATTTTAGTTCTATCAATTTCCATACAAACCATATTGATTTATCTACCAATTTGATAGAAGAGAATTATTTAAATTATATTTCTTGTACATATCCACAAGATACTACTTCTTTGTTGAATAATATCCATCCAATGAATGGTAATGCAACATCACAATGTACCAATAAAATATCTACCAATTATAATCAACTACCATATTGTTCAACCCCTTTAATTGATCATCAATTCAATACAATTATAAGTAATATCTCACCTCTTAGTACCTCTGAATGTTTCACTAATGATATGATACCTAATAATAAACAACCAGATATTACTTCTATAATACATGATCATTTACCGAAACCATGGATACAAAATATTAATGAATTGAAAAACTGTATAACACCCCCATTAGCATTTTCTTCATATACAAATCATTCTACATCATTAGCTCCTATTTTTTTAATGACATCAGATTTAAATTATTCAACAGGAATTCATCAAGATTTTAATAATTCAAATACATCAACTGTTATTATACCACCGGTTATTCTACATTCAACTAATGAACAAACTCTTATCAGTAGTCCTTATGGTCCAATGACCATTAATAATAATAATAGTAGTAATAATACAAATACCTCAATTATATTCAATACTACTAATAATAATGATAGGAATCATATTCCAGATATTTCTATTATCCCATTTAATGTGAGAAATTGTAAACTAGGATATAATAATAATTGATTCAGGTAGACATTTAATGGAAATGTATGTTCTACACCTGGAAGAACTCCTGGATTGTAGTTTGGAACTCTCTCTCTATATGCATATACATCAATATTGTGTAAACCTTTGTAAAAAGTTTTTGAAATTTATTTTCTGAATATGTCATGATATTTTGTTTTTTTTTAGACATGAAATGATATACTACTTATTACAGTATAAATATACAGTTTTGTTTATGTAGTCTATGTTTTATAATCTACTTAAACATGACAGAATTGATTGTATTATTGTTATCTCCGTCGTCACTGATATGTCTTGGTGATTGAACGTTATAATCGAATCCTAAGCTAGTCTAGTAACCTCCAAGCTAGAACTACACAGCGAATTGAACACGGGAGAAAAGTGCAAAATATGTGTGAAGCACTTTACTTCAAAGGTTTATTCATGTACAGAAAATATTCGGTTTTCCTGAAAATGCTAGAATATTACTAAACATAGTAGCAATGTAATAATCAGTCATTGAGAACCTTTACATGTGACTTTTCATTTTCGTGATGTTTCAATCAAAACTTCTAGTCAAACGCTGATTGGATAAAATGCTTCCTGAGCTTGTCATATCTATTGTGAGAAACTTTCTGGATTATCCCAACCCTATAGAAAACATGATTATTATGATTGGATTCTAAATCTATTTTTTTTCGATGGATGATAGATTACAAAGTTGTTTTGGCAATTTGTTATGTTGTGGATAAGCTAAGATTTGTGAATCTGTTATTTAAGGCTTCAACCCTGTGAACTGTTTACCGATATTCTATCTAAAAAGCCTATCTAACAATCTTGCCTAAGAAGAATTTACTTTCCATGATTCAATGGCAAAACGAATTGGACTCACTAATTCACATGATTAAATATACAACTTACCATAGATAAGAGTAATTTTAAACTTGAAGTAACAAGCTTCTAGTTAGCTTAGGGATCAAGAAAGATAAGACAACAGTTAATGAGTCACGTGAAAGCTTACAGTGCGGAAAATATAAAAATCACATCAACCGTACGTCAGTGGTTATGCACAAGATAATAGACTGACTATAATCCCTAAAACATTTTGAAACTGTGAATAGGAATGAAGTACAACTCATTATAATCTATTACATTATATTCCTATTAAACTATAGACCATAGAACATTCATAGCGTACAATATATTGAAACTACTTGGATTACTTTTATATGGTGATAAATAATATAATTAAAGTTATCAGATTACTCTGATGAGAATATATTTCAACACTGACATCATGGATATCCTTGCTGATAGTTTAACCATATGTCAAGCTCCACCTATTTCATTTCATTGATTTACAGAGTATAAAAAGTGTGCATATCGTTTTAATAATAACATTTCATTTTAACTTCATTTTGTATGGTTTGTTTGAATCTTCCCATTGTTACTTAAGTCTCTAGTCGATCAGTCTCTTATTGTCATATGTTCATACTTCAATGATTGACTCAATATTGCTTTAAGTCACAAGTATTATAGGCAAAAATGGATAATGGGTAGAAGTACAATCAAGGATGCGCGTTTTGTCCTATTTAGGACTTGTCAGCTGGATGCACCTGCATCTCAGAGTTGATATTCACTAGAGGAATCGAACCTAAAACATGATTTTTATAATATTCAAGGAAAATGTAATCATGGGTTTCAATTTGAGTCTTAAAAAGCGAATTCCCCTGTATTCACTTTAGATTTTTCAAGTAGTATGTTGTTTTAAAAGTGTTGTTTTGAAAAATCGAATTATATAATTTAATCATGATGATAAGAGGGATATTCAGGTTTTTATTCACAAAGTACAATTTAAACTATTTCTATCGGTGTCTGTTTTGAAGTAGTTGTCATAGTTACAATTGATTGACATAAAACTTTATTTCGGACATCCCTTAAATGTTGTGATTTGAAAGATGCGATGAATACAGTATAATTCAATCCAAACACCTTAAACACATATATTAACAGATACGATAAATGACTGATCAAAACGGTAAGATCATTGACGAGAATGTTCCTACCTATTCACTGAAGAAAATGTATGTACGAAAATAAGAGAAATTTATACCTTACGTATGTAAAGAAATCTGAAATTGTAGCTAATCGACATTGAACACTGAAACTATTGTGGTGTGTGTCACTGATGTCAACAAATATAGATAGTATATTTCACCAACTGAAAGTGGAATACCTGACGGCATAAGGTTGAGAAAATCAAGTAGAAGAAGACGAGAACAGAGAGTGAGTTGTATTGAAGTGAAAAAACAACAAAATATGAGAGAATTGATAGATATTTCACAAATGAAGTGTTTATTGCATGGAACTCAGATTTTACCAAGATATTATGTAATGTAATGATATACAATTGGTTATTTCCACATGTATTCCTCATTCACTATAATTTCACAGTGTAATAGAAGTATAAGGAAATATGGATAGTGACTAGCATTGTAATCCAGGTCGTGCGTTTCGTCCTATTTTGGACTCGTCAGCTGGATGTAGCGGCATCTCAGAGTTGATATTCACTCTGAGACTCGAACCCAGTACCTTTGGCCTCAAACACTACTAAAAGGATTTAAACTTCACCCTATTGCACAAGCAAGGAGCTATGAGGACTTAGTAGCTGAGTGGATGCCGCGATGGCATTTGAAGCTAAAGATATTTGATTCGAGTCCTAGAGTGAACATCAAATCTGAGATGCAGGTGCATGCAGCTGACGAGTCAAAAAATAAGACTAAATGCGCATCATGGATTCCACTGATAGCCACTATCCGTGTTTGCTTTTTTTGTTTTTTTTTACATTATAAAAATGTTTATTAAAATTTGTCTGCAAAAAACAAAAATTATTAAAATTTAGTTACCATTGTAATAAATCTTATTTTTGCGGTTATATCTGAAGCAGAATCTTGTTTGTAAAAGTACATTTACCACTGAAAGGTTTCAATCTCATTATTTATGAACATTAGACGTTTGTTTTTAAAATTAATTCCCTATGTTGCCATAGAAACAGTTCAGATGGAAACATACTATTATTATTATTATTATTGAAAACATCAAATAATTTCATATTCGATGCTTTTACAGACAGTATATATTTTTTATTAAACGGTTTGAACTTTTTATTTAGATAACGTTTTTTGGCGAGACTGTAATTTATGGACGATCTTTGAGCCACGTTGAATTGACATTGAAACTGTCCACTTAATAACTAGGACCAAATAAGGGGTAGTACAGTAGTGTGAGGAATTAGAATGATGATTTACAATTGATGGTTAGTGTTAGGAATTAGATTTAAGGTTTTCATTACGAATCGATATGAGCTATGATGTCAGAACTCTATTTAGACAAATGGATGAGCGAATTTTGCGCCAAAATCCAAGACCTGTTATCGTACACCTTATTTTTTTCGTTCATAAGTGATAGTCTCGCTTTTTTTCTCTGTCCATATACAATTATAACGTTTTGTATTTCATAATTATCATCAAAAAACGGTCGCACGAACATAATCAGTGAAAGTCGGTACTTATGTGGTGTGGGTTATTTAAATCTTCTAAGTAGTATATGGTGATGGTCGGTCAGAAAAAGCATTTCACTAGAAGATCGATAAGGAAAGAACCGGAACAGAACATGATTAGTATGAAAATGCATGAACAAATAAATCAGAGACGATAGACTGATGTTTGCGAAAGAAACAGTCAAGATTGAAACAATTGATTGTTACTTTGCAAATTAACTGTTTGCTGTATGGTTATCAGATTTTAGTGAGATAGTCCGTAATTTGTGTTTAAATACATTCAATTGCCTCCACCCGTGTTCCGTTCACTACATCACTATTACAGTCCCTAGTGATCGAAATTCACGAACACAGTAGTGATCAAAACCAGGAATTTTAAGTCTTGCTCCCAATTTATAACCTATTAATCCACTAGTTTATATGTTGATACTCAATCGATTTGTGACATTTCACGATCCTCTTACCGAAATATAAGTGCGTAAATGCGTCACACTGGAAAAGTTTATTATTATTCACGGTCTCATAGGAGAACTCCAGAAATCACCTCTCAAAATACAATCACACAGAATGAACCATTTTTATAATTATGCGGAGTACATGAGAAATTTAGAAATTTCTAGATCAGATTACGGGCTGATAATAGATAGTTGATAATTAATAATAATTAAAACTTGATGGTAGTACATCTGTTATGTTTTGTTTCTTGTAATAGTAACTTCAAAATATCAGTTTTATGGAACACATATTGCTCAAAAACTAAAAGCACTGGAAGGCCGTTTCGTCCTACTGTGGGACTCCTCAGCTGGATGCACCTGCATCTCAGAGTTGATGTTCACTCTGAAATTCGAACCCAGCAATATTCGCTTCAAACACAATAGTGTTATCCACTCAGCGACTGAGTCCTGATGACCACTTACTTGTGCAATTGAGTTAAGTTTAAATTCAATTGGTATTGTTTGTTTGAATTTTCTCATTGATGTTTAGAGCTGCCATTGGTCCGTCTCTAATTGGCATATGTGTATACTATGCATATTGCCTCGATATAGCCTTAATTCACAAGCATTATAAGCAAAGATAGCTTCTTTTTCGAAATAATGCATTACTCCACCTTGTTTCGAATTACTGATAAAATGTTTAAAAAAATATTGTTTTGATTGAAATCATGAATCAATTGATGTTAGATCGCAATTGAAAACCTGAGGAATGCCATATAGTGTTTTCCGGTTTTCAATGATGGTCTAACATCAATTGATTCATGATCTCAATTAAAAACTTAACAATCTCTGCAACCCCATGTTAATAAGAAATTATTGTCCAATCGTGTTTCTAGATGTTCTTCATCAAAAAAAAATTCGATTATTCGATATGAATGCTATAGCGTTTATTTAAAGTTCCTAGAAAATTCAGCAGAACTTACAAGTAATGAAAGAAAAGAAAACTAAACAAAGCATCTAAGTGAGCGCTTACTGTAGACCACAGTCCTGACATTTGTAAACATAGGCGATTCTACATGGAGTAGTGATATAATGGAGACAAATTTTGAATACAAATA